AAAAAAAAAAAAAAAAAAAAAAAAAAAAAAAACCAAACAAAAAAATCACATCATGCCTGCAAAATCCAGATACACGTAGTCTACAGCCCAACCGCTGTTTGTATTAATTCTTCGCCAGCTTAGAAAGAATTTGATTGGTCAGTTATTAATTGTAATAACCGAATTGTTTTAAAAACCACAAAATCCACCAAAAACGTGAATTAAAAACAATAATAAATGAGTGTAGTGAATAGAAAAGACAGTTACCCATAAAATCTGTATGAAACTTGTTTTAATTATCTGAACATCTTAGAATTTATACCATATTGAAATAAAAATAGCCTAAAACGACATTTCCCGCAATAATTATGAAAATCCATAACAACTTTTACTGGCCAGTATTAGAGCATTCACTATACACAGCCTGGGATACATCGACTTAAAACTCTGAGAGAAATAGCATTTTTTGTGAATATAAAAAATGGCCTCTGCTGACTTCCGCTGACCTAAAAATACTACGAAACCCCACATTTTATCAATTTCCACCAAAAAAGGTTCAAATTGCATCACGCTCAAAATGAACGAATGAGACCATTTTAAATTTGTTGACGTATTGTTTTGCCGCACCATCACAATAACTCACAGGCCAATAAATCAGCAGAACATTTACATAGAATTGGAATTTTATGTGTTATTTATAAATTAAAAATAATAAACAATTAAAAAAAAAGCACAAATGGATAATTTTTTTACATCTGACAACCAGAGTGTTAATAAGTAAGGTGTTAGTGGCATAGGTGTTATAATTGCATATAAGACCCTATATAACTACTGAGTACATTTACATCGGATCCGAACAGAAATTCGGGCCACGTTTCCGAAGCGCCGAACGCCTGTGTCTCTATTTTTACACACTGATTCGATGTGAGGCTTTAGTTTCGTTACGCGATATCAGGATTACGAAAATTTCCACATTTTGTCTTGCATAGTAATCTTGTGAGGTTATTTGAAAAATAGTACAGAATGCAATTTCTTGTTAGGTGCTCAAAAGAAAAAAAAAATCCAGATTAGCTTTGTAAACATGTTTATAAATGAGCTAAATGGTAAGCTAATGTGGGGGTGCCATTTTTTATTTATGTTACTCTTTCTTCATACAGGAGGTCGATGTGAAAGCAATCCAGACATTAGCAGAATTAACCTCCAGATGTATAGAACAGTCACAAAGCAGCAGAATCAATGCTGCTGCAGCAAGCCAAGGAACACTCCAAAAACCCAATCCAAATTGCAGCTGCCTGTCTAGCATAAGAACATGTTAAAACTATGAAAGAATTAGCAAAGAGTAATGTGTCTCAATATGGTAATAACACCAAATGCGAAAATGCGATTTCCCCATTTCAGGAAATACGCCACTAGTATTGTTATACAGTACATAACAAAAATTGAGTCGTTGCATACATATTCTTCTTTCAATAAATTGATGAACCCCAAATAAAACGGGGGTCGGGGTTTTCCTCGGGGAAAATGTTGGTTCTTAGATGGCGAGAAATGAGTTTTCAGTTTCTTGACTTCTGAAATGTCTTTTAATCAAAATTCAAGGTTTTCCAATTTTGTAAACGGTCAAGTAATTTTTTCTCGTTCTTATTACAGTAAATAGGCCAATGTGTGTACCGGTACACAGAGAATTTTTTTATTATTTTTTATTTTTTTCTCAAGAAGGGGCTCAGGACCCCTCTGACTCCTCCCTCAAATCCGCCAATGGATGAAAACTTCTAATGCATCTTTGTAGCCACGCCTTTCACACACAGTGCCCCTGTTCCCCCTACTGCATCCGCCCTTGATTACTGACATCATTTCCATCTCCACTCAATTTGCCTGCCCGAGCAGACAATAATTCGTTGTTATAGTGTCCGATAATTTTTACGTCTCGTGTTCTCTTAGTCTGTTTTCATTTCTAGGCGAAGCTCCCAGAGTGTACTCGACGAATCTAATAAATGTCGCTCTAATGCATTGGTGAAAATGAATGAAGCTTAGATTACCTAGGAAGGGCCAAGAAAGTCATGTGGTTTATAACAAAGAGATAGATTTAATACCAACAATTTCAAGAGGTCACGAGCCACACGCGCTTATACTTAATACCAGGCTCCATATCCGTTGCGAGGTTTTTTTTAACAAGTGTGGCGCCAGCGAGAATCCTACATCCGCCCCAGAGGGCAGGCCCCTCTGGGGCGGATGCAGGATTTGGCGGTAGGGGGTGCGAGCAAGGGCTCAGATCTGATTTGAAAGGTGAGAGGACATTTCATTGAAATAGTATATTTAGAAGGCCGGAAATGACACTTTTATATAGTAAAATTTATCATCCTCACATTACCATTAGTCAAAATTAACCACCAACAAATTCTCATGATCTTTTATTTTCGGCAACCCCGGACCTAATTAATAAGTGTGATTATACCATAGACAATAAAACTTAGAAACATTTTCCTTGATGTACTGTTTTTACTTTACCTACTTCAAAACCGCGAGTCCACAACCACCTCAGCCCCATCATGTTTGGGGCTGAGGTGCAAAAAAAAATTTAGGAAATAGTAGCACCATTAGATGGCCGGAAATGACACGTTTATATAGTAAAATTCATCATCATTACATCACCATTATAGTCTAAATATGAAGCTCCAGCAAATTTCTTATGATCTTTTATCAGCACCGGCAACCACATAGATCTAATTAATGAGTGCTGTGTACCATAGAAAATAAAATTAAGGAAGCACTTACTTTAATGTATTTAATTTACTTGACCTACTTCAAAGCCACATTTACCTCAGATCCACCATGGTTGGGGCATAGGGTAAAAAATTTGAGAAAATAGTCCTTTAGATGTCCAAAAATGACACTGTTAAAATTCATCATCACCTCTCCATTATAGTCAAAATGAGCGCCAACAAGTCCTCATGATATTTTATCAGCAGACGTGTCAGCTGGCCCCATGATCTGCGCCCATGGGTGCATGGAGTCCACACCACCTCAGCCCCAACATGTTTGGGCCTTGGTGCAAAAAGTTTGAGAGTATGGACCGGCCTCTGGGTGCCAGTGCACTCACAACCTTAAAAATCTTAGCAATAATTCATGTCAACAATGATACAATTATATTTCTTAATACAATTTATGGGGGTGTGATGCGATCGCACCGTTTCACCCCTGCATTTTCCCCTGCCGTTTCCTCTAAAATCGATTAAATAAGCTTTTGAAAGCCCTACATTGTCAATTTTTTCAGGAAGCTTATCCCGTGGACCACTTTCGAAAGATCATTAGTGCCCGACCACGCCCATTCGAAAGATCTTTAGTGCCCGACCACGCCCACTTTGCTCTCGTTGGATACATGGTCCCCTCCCTGTCGGGCAAATCGGGGAGCTGCCACTGTTTCGCAACCCACTGAGCACATTTATCTGGAGGTTGTGAGTTCGATTCTACCTGATTTACTTGCAACATTTTTTCCCGAAATATGTTTGTACTGTGCTGAGTAAACTGCAGAAGAGTATGCGAGATCGGCACAGGATAATTTACTAAGTTATATTTCATTTAAAGCTTAAACGCATGACGTACGATACATATCGACGTAATAGGGAGTTTTCGATGCACGACGTTAACCTTAACTTTAACGGATGACGTCATAATTTATTCATCTTGCGTTGCGGACTACGTTAATTTCAGGATTTTACGTGCTCGACGTACATTAGTTACGGGTTACGGGTTTGCGCATGCGTATTTCGATTTGTTTACAAAAGGGGCGGAGCTATTGCGCTGCATGTTGGGTAATAACGTTAAAGTTAAGGTCGTGCATCGAAAACTCTCTAATATATCGTCGGGGACAGTCCTCGGGTCATGAAAATAGTAAATGTTTAATATTCTACAATGTGAATTTACCCAAGGCGACAAGTTCAAATGTGTCAGGCTGCAACGTATGACGCTTTCTGAATTGGGCTTTGAACATTATGAAACTAAAGACGCATTGAAACTTAAAACTCAATGCCAGAGGAAACAGTAGTTTGAATTACTTAATTTGTGTATTTTATTAAATAATTAGTTATCAATTGAAAATTAAGTAAGAATTGCTGAATATTTACGAGTAGTAAAATGTTGGTAAATTTGTAAAAAATTGTTTATTAAAAAAATGTTTTCTTCGCGATGACATCACTAGTGGTGTATGATATATATTGTATATATATTAATCTGAACTTTAATATAATACAAGTAATGATATTTCTTAAATTTCATAAACAATATAAAAAACGTATATACATCTTATATACATGAGAAAGTATAATACATACTCCTAGTATTGAAGTGCACGCCATTATTTTAGGATGCAATATTTCGACATTAATTATGTAATTATTAGGATTTCAATACTTGAAGTATTATACTTTCTTATCTGAGATTAATCAGTGGACCTTTCGGTTTTTAAACATATATAAGAAAAAGTTAACGTTAATGTTTTTATGTATATTGTGTATCTATGGTCCTGAATGACAGCATCAAAAGTATGTAGTTTTGATGATTGAAAGGCGTGCAAAATATAATTCTTAATTAAAAAGTGTCCTAACGTGTTAGGCCTACTGTGGTGTATGTAACCATGGTAATATATATTCTGGTGTTATTTTTTATTGCACTGTTATCTTTAAAATGTTCCTTTACACCTTTACTTCAATTTTCCATATCTTTCATGGTAGTATAACTCAATTTCTTTCTTTATATTTATTCGTTCAACTTTGTTCAGTGCTTCACTAATTGATTTGAGATGATTTACTTCAGCTTCCTGTCTACTTCGCCACTGTACCAACATTTCAATACAGACGTCTACAATTGGTGGTGAAAAGTCTGACTCAATTCGATTTATTTCATGTTTCTCCATACCAAGGTAGATGCCAAAATTTGTCAAATCTTTGCCATCAAGTTTATTAGCGATAAACACTATGTCAATATCAACTAAGCAACCTGTGATAGAACACATAAATTTCCAATAACAATACTGTATAGACAAATCCTTTTAGAAAATGCGTGCTGTATTATTTAAACAGATATTTATAAAATGAACAGCAAATCTTAATCATCAAAATATTTTCCGAATTAAAAATCGTAAAGATACTAAGTGAAAAATAGTGGTCTAATGGTTATGATACCAGGAGGTCTTGGATTCAATTCCCACCCGAATTACTTGCAAAAATTTTCCTCACAAGTATTTTGGGACGCACTAAATGAACAATGAGTTCTCACCTATATAACAGGGGTCACGTTTGTAGATCAAATCAGTTCGAAGGGTCAAGTGATTATACAAAGTGACTAAAGGCCAACCCAGACAGCGTCAGCCGACGCAGCCCGACCCGATTAATCGTCGGGGACAGTCTTCAGCTGTCGTGAGAAATATTTAACATGTTTAATATTCTACGACGCGACTGCACCCGACGCACACCGTCGGGTCTGCGCTTAACTCACACAGACCCTGAGTCTGAGTTGGCCTTTAGAGGTCTAGGATAATCTAAAATATATTTATTTGTATAAAAGGGCATACAACAAGCAATGTTTCTCAGGATGTGCGAAAATGTAATACATTTGTAGAATAGCAGTAGTTATTTTAAATAGATTTTTACTACTGTACCTTGCATTGGTGTTGAAATTTCAAGCAGATTTATATGAGTTGTTGCAACTTATGACTCGTCACTGTAGCCATGCCTTTCACGTACACTTTGTGCAAGTCCAACAAGCTTCTGTTGCCTCAAAGTGTTCACCATGATTGGTATTTGTTGGCTCTTTGATTGGTCATCCCTCCAAGTAACCAACAATTCCACGATGCAGTCTTCGACCAGTCTGTAGTTTTTTGTTATCTTTTTTATATCGGTCCATTTGAGTCCAAGACGCACTCGCAGTCTCCTCCATGATTCGGGATCCAAATTGTCACAGATAAACAGCAAATCTTGATCATTAAACCATTTTTCTACATAAAAAGTATACAGATTATACAGTGAGTAAAAAAAACACTTAGTTAATGACATCATTGACTCTGCTGTGTACTATTGTTTACTTTGGTATCAAAAAAGAAACAAGCTACAGAACAAAATGTGAGGTTAATTTGCTATGTATTTCTGAAATCTTGAGATACTTACCTGCTTCTCGCGTAACAAGATTTTCATCGCTAATTTCACCCTCAAACAATTCTTCAGCTAGTTTCCTAAGCTTATGTTGTTTCAGAGCAGTGCACAACACTTTACGTTGATGAATATTGTTACTGAGGCTGCTCCTCCAGTCATTTATCATATTTTTGGCAGCCTTATGAGTCTGCGTATCATCAGCATTGAACTTGTTCACTTTCGACCACTTAAGTCCCAAAAACGGACACCAAACCTTCTCCAGCTGATATTTAAATCGTCAGAAACTGTCACAATGGTGACGTCATCCACAAAGCCTAACAAACAAGATAATTATTACTTGAAAACGTAATTATCCCAACTGTATCTGACATGAGTTTTAGACACTCCATTTAAAAGAAAATTAAAACTTTCACTAAAAAAAAAAAAAAAAAATTATACCAACGCAATTGATCCCTGGTCTCCCAAAATTTGAGTACTTTTTTTTACTTTCTGTTTATGCATAATGTTGTCGGTTTAAAAAACCGAATATACAAAATAAGTGACTGGAGATTCGGGAAAAATAATAGCATGAGCTCTTTTAAACCATTATCCAATTTTACTTTTTTTTTTTTTTTTTTATTATTATTAACATTGTTTAACAGGGATAATTGAAGGGCTATTTTTTTTTTTTTTTGAAAACAAATTGGTCAAAATCTGTTTTTTTTAAACTGATATAGGCTTATTTGTTTTGTTAGTAAGCTGTAACACGAAGTGTTGATTACAATTTATTGATTAGTACATAAATACTAAGTTATTTTAGCCTCATTTAATGGTATACAAAATAAATGTTATCAATCCATACCTGAATGGTACTGAATGGTGTGAATAAAATAATTAAGAAAGTCAACTCAAATACATGCTGAGATTGACAGAAGTGGGAAAGAACAAACGCTAATTTTCAGGTGGCTCAAAAGCTGTTAGGTAATAAGCCCTCACA